CGGGCGGGCACCGGGCGGGCACCGGGCGGGCGGCGCCCCTCCGGCCCGCGGTGGGCGCCGGGCGAGCGGGCAGGGGCTCCCTCCCTCCGCCCAGGCTTCTGTCCTGCTTGCAGCACCGGGGCACGACCCTCACATTACACGGTTTGTATTTTTCCCTGGCGGAAAATTCGTCATTCTCCCACCGCTAGCCGGGCTTCCTGAAGCTGGCAGCATTCAGGCAACACTTCAAATTCACGGTAGTAAAAAAATCGACGCCCTCAACTCCCCGTGCGGCGCTAGCAGCACCCTCTCTCGCACGATCTTTCCGAAGCCCTAAAAACCGGTTTCAAAACCTTCTGACAGAAGCTTTCTTCATTTTTTCGAGTAAATCTCACAGGCTTGCTCCCCATGCCCTCTTCTTGGTTTCTGAAGATGGACATTTTCCCACTCCCCTTTCATAAGCAGCCTTCTAAAGTTTTTTATCATTTCTGTGCTAATGGTGTACAGTTCAGTTGTGAAAACTTTACCAACAGACCTCAAATTACATAGATTTCTTGCTCTGGGAATTCCACATTTATAAATGTGCCCCTTCAAAACAAGCTATTTTAAGGTTGATTTCTTACGAAGTTATTAAACTGACAGCATAGCATTTAAAAAAAAAAAAATCTATTTCCTAATCATGAAGATATTTCTCTTGAAACTACTCATGGAAATAATAGTTCTAATATAGGGCTTCACATCTAACCTATAGCTATATAACATTAAAGATTACATTAAGGAGAAAACGATCAGCAGGCTAACTCAACCATGGTCACAATAGCAGCTTTCTCAAGGCTGGAATTGTCATTGAAATCCATTTTTTATCTTTGGTAATTCACTGGAGGACTAACAGTGAAACAAATGCCATCTCTAGCATTGGCACAGCATGCAGCATTTAGTGCCTTTTAAGAAAGTAAAAAGAAACAAGAATGTATGGTACACCAGTGGATAGCGCAGTAAACATGCTTTATCATTTCAAAGAAGAATGCCATATTGCATGCATGCTTGCTATTTATTCAGTTTGTGGGTTTGGTTTCAATAGTACCAGTTGTTAAGACAAACGAAGCAATATAAGAAGAATCTTATCAGGTCTTGGTAATTCTTTATTATGTGGTCGCACTTGACACTCAAATTAGTGAAACAAAGGGCCAACTTGATGAATCATTGAAAGCAAATTATCTGTAGTTCTCCAAGGCTTCCTGCAAGAGACTACAAAAGGCAGCTCATGCATTTCTCACTGCTGTTTCTCAACTATCAGCAAGCAGGTTGCTGGTGACTGACCTTTCTAAGCCTTTCTAATGTATTTTGCTATGCCAAAGTGAAGCATCATTTTTATGATTTAGGCTCATGGCTGTATGTTAGACATCTGTTATACAGTATGTCTGACCAAATTCATTAAACTTCTGGGTTTTGGTAGAATAGGCTGATTTAAAAATCTACTGGTAAAGGAGACAAAATAAGTTTTCTAATTTAATGCTTGACTTGAATAATGTCCAGCTTTCTGCTCATCAAATATTTAATTAGATTGCCATGATGGTCATAGACAGTATTCTTGGCAGTCAAATGCTCACTGAAACAAATACAGTAGTGTAATGTAAATCCTACGGAGGTTTTTATGTGTAAGCATGGGAACTTTAGAAATCATCTGGAAAACAGCCCAGCCATTTAATTTAATTTTAAATTCCTATGAATTAATAGTTCTAGCTATCTGGAGGTTTGTTTTTTAACACTATTGGAATCTACATACCTGTAGATACGCATCTGTATACCAAATAGTTAGACTTGCAAAGAGGAGAAGAGCACAGGCTGAACTCATAAGCATTTAATCAACTTGGAAACGAGTCAATACAGAGAACATCTTAAAGTCCATCTGACTTCCTGCTTCAACCAATTTATTTTCAATATGCAAGGGATACTGAACTGTCCATGCATTTCCATCCCTCCTTAGAGCTATGGGTAAAGACAGATTAAAACATCAACACCTGCTTTCCTATCCCAGGAGAAAAAGTGGCAGAGCCTGGTTAGGTTTTTCAACAAAGTTTGACTGAGGAGAGGTTTTCAACTGCATGGAAGGGTCTGGGTTGTCCCCTCTTCCAATTTACCCTTCTCACTTTCACCTTTCTGGTAGCTACAGGCTGACAAAACAGTCACATGAAATAAAAATCTGCTTGTGGCAGCTTCAGGAGGACATAAGACACAAATGACAAAATAAAAATCCATATAGAGTGAGAAATCCACGTAAGAAGTAGTGAGGCAGATAGAGACAAACTTCTCAAAACTGACAATGGACTTGGAGCGACAGAGCTCTTTCACTGATTCCTAAATAAAACTGCTCAAACTGCAACCTTCCCTGAGCTGTCTGGATGAATGAAATAATTACCTTTTTATAATGCATTTTAACCCAGGTTGTCTTTCAGAGATTTCCTTGTATACATATAAAACACCCTTTCAAACTATGGTTGATTTCTCAGGAAGTTCATATAGAGACAACATAGCATAATCTACACCTTAATATAATGAACAATTATAAACATACTTTCCACATTATGGTTGGTCTGAAATGAGTACTCGAGTGGAGGAGCCTCTTACTCTCCATCTATGCCAGTGCACCTCAGCAACTGGTAGGCAAAATATTCAGTGCAAGTTAGAATGAGGGCAACGGCTAGCACTTCTGCTGATGACCCAGATGTTGTTTGCCAGGACCTTTTCCCTGAGCACACTGTGTGATTCCAGCAAGCCCCGCTCTGGACCTGCTGTCCCTCTCTCCTTGCCGCCATAACCAGAGGTAGGGTGTTTATGCATGCCCTCAGTAGACAGAATGCCTCCAAACTGGAAGCTGCAGCTAGGCTTCAGCCCTGTCACCTTCTCAGAATGAAAGCCCAGTCAGTCTTAAATGTTTAATTATTTTGTGACTCATTGATAGCAGTGTGACTCCTTTGCTGCATAAAGAGAATATTTTAGAGAACTGATTTAGATCTGTGCCCAGTTTTAAAGAGAATAAGAAAATGAAGTTTTTGTTTACCTACTACCCTTCACAAGAAAGTGAGAAGAAAGGGGATCTGGTGTGATACAAGTAGTTAAACTCTAGGTGAGTTCTGCATGTTACTCTGCAGGAGTGCTGAAAACACATTCCCATCATGCTATGTGTATGAAGATGTTTTTCAGAAAAATATTGGTGATAGACGTGCTCAAAATAGATTGGAGGGGGGAGGTTAATTGTATCAGGTCCACTTTAATATCCTTATGCCTTGGAAATGAAGAATCTGAATTACTAAGATTCTATAGGTGGCTAAGCATGAGAAAATATTTGTTAAAAATGTAAAATTAATCTAAAAGTGACTCCTGTTAAAGTTGCATTATTTTGTCATTTCCATTATATTCTGTGGTCTGTGAAGCCTTGGATCTGTCTCCTCAAGAGTAAAATCCTGGCGCCACTGAAACTAACTCCTATACATCTTTTATCCCTCTTTGCTTGCTGGGGCAAGAAGCTCACTAGCAAGTATCAAGCTCCCACTTCTAGCTCTGCAGCCTCATGAGGTACGAGCTTAAACCATGATCACTAGCGTAGAACAGAATATTGCTTGTCCTGGGCCTCTAGCCAGTGACATTTGGGAGGATGGCTGGGAGTGCCACATTTCAGGGGGGAGAAGTAAGTATTTTTTCACTGACTAGCTAGAAAAATGAGACTAAAGGTGCTAAAGAGGCTGGATATGATAAAAGCTTGTGTGGATTAAGGGACAGAGGGGCAGTCAAAGGTATATAGGAAATTAAATACATCACACTGGTATCACCTCCACGTGCTGTTTTATTATTTATGTATACATGAAATTTTAACCTCTTTCTCCTGAGAGAAAGGGCTGCATTTTTGCATCGCAAACACAACCAGTGGAAAACATTCAGCAGCCAGCAAAGTAATGAGCTTACACTATAGATTTTTCAAACTGCCCAGTGATTCATGAAATGCTTTTCAAAACTGGAAATATGCATTGAGGATTGGTCAAAAAAGGTAGAAACAATATTATAGATCAGTCAATACTGTCTCTCCTTTATGAAAGCAGGCTGCCTTTGAACTTCTGACAGAAGCAAACAGTGATAAGATGCATAAAAAAAAATGAAATATTGCATAGATATAGAAGTGCAAATGCAAACAGGAGGGGGAAAATAGTGAGATAAGATCTGCTGAATCTGCTGGTTTTTCCTTTTCTGTTTCTTAGTTTTCTCCCCAATCTAGGAAGCATAAATAAAGGCATTCGCTGTTTCAGAAACAATGTGTCTAGCTCAACTGAATGGACTAATCTGCTTTAAGACCACATGTGAAACACTGTGCTTCATTCTAATCAGTTTTTCGTGCGGGAAAGTTAAACAAAGCGTATCCTGGAATATACAACATACTCAAAATTCCACATCTAAAGTCAGAAACTTCAAAGGTTAAGAAATTGCCATAGCAGGCTGCACATGGAGGGTACCCAGCACCACCTGTGGAAGCCAGCAGGCATGACCAGAAGCTGTTCTTCATGGCCTTTTGTTTTACTGTCCACCACCAAAACAAAAGAAGGAAGACATACGTAATCTCTATAAACAGAGCACAGATTTAACATATGAACTAAAGCAACTGAGGACATAATTACTACAATTTGGTAAGAGATTGGATACATTTGAATATTCTGGGGGTACCTTTGCTGTAATATAAGTGATCTCAACAGGATCACGAATATCTCAGCTTTTAATGTACATGTATGTCTGTTCCTTTGCAGAGAAAAACTACACCAA